AGAGCTTCTCAAGAGAGACAGGAAGTTTTCACTCCACTGGGTAAGGGGCAGCAGTGCCTGATCAAACTGCTCCAAGTGCTCCAACTGCAGCTTCAACCGCTTTATCCTAAAAGTGAGGGTGGGAAAAGCATGGACTGAGAATATGGAAGTGACTGTTTTAAATGTAAATTTTAAAAAAAAATGCTAGGATCCATTCACATACTGTAACCCAGATGTAAATAAGCTATATCATAATCAATCACCCTAAAAAATACCTGCGTAATATGCTGTTCTTCACAGAAGCGCATCTCTCCTGTAGTTGTGTGAGATCATCACTGAGCTCCTGGATACGAGCTTCGGGTGCCGTGGGGTACAAGCAAAGGCCGAGATTCACGAGACCCTGAAGGAGAGTCTCGTGTGACACCGTCTCTACCTGCATTTCCTGGATAGGCATATCATCAATGCAAATTAGATAAAATAACAAAACTTTCTTGTAGAAACAAATACAGAAAAGTAAAAAGATTTTACCTGCACATTTTGTAATTCATTCCTAAGCTTTACTTTATCTGCAGAGAGCAGTTCGGTGTCTGGGCAGCACACAGACTCACACCTGTCCAGCCAGCTTTTCATGGACAAATTTTCCTTTTCATATCTGTAGATGCAGATGTTGCATGTATTAAAATCAAGGAAAATATAAGTTGCATCCCCTTAGGACACACACAATTACAAGTTCACTTTTTTTTTTTCTTAAATCTGACCAAACCCTAGTATCAGTGACAAGGTCATAATGGGGCAACCATATCTTCCCAGTGCACCCAGTGCTGGAAGTAATCCCTTATACATATACCTGCAGGATACAGGATGAGGCTAACTGCAGAGACACTAAGCCGAACACACACACAAACAGACACACATAAACTCTGCTGAAGTTTAGTGGCAAAAACATAATTGAGTTCATTTCAAAAAGAGTCACCGGCTGGGTAAATAAAAGGAAGCGCTAAAGCTTGGGAAATTTAAACAGCCAGCATGTGGCTAGATCATTATTTTCTCCTCACGCTTAAACAGAAAAGAAACAATCACTCCGGTGAAGGACTATTGTGTGACAAAAGAAAGCGATAAGAAAGCATATAATTAGAATAGAAATGCACTGGCTGACAGGGGGACAGACAAGATCTCGCTCTTCCACATCACACTAAGATGAGAGACAGATTCAGAGGAATAAAGAGGAAACTGGCACAGAGAGAAGCAGAAACAGCACATGCACAATAGAAGGGAAAATGGCATTTGCTTATTCAACTGCAGGTGTGTGCTAATGGAGACTACAGATGTTTCTCAAAAAATGACTTATAACATATTTCTCCATTTTTATAAATGTACTTTTTGATTTTATGGTTTTTTTTTTCAATGTGGCAAAATCTGAAATATTCAAACAGGCCTGTTGTAGGTGTTTATCTATACGGCACCAAATCACGACAACAGTTGCCTCAAGGCGCTTTATATTGTAATGTAAAGACCCTACAGTAATACAAAAGTGTTGAAGGGACATATACACCCGAAACCCTGCTTTGGGCCATACCAAAGCACAATAAACTCTAAACACTAAACTAAATGGATAAATCTTCACACATTACAGTGAACAGTGACTCATGCCTTCAGTTTAACAATTAACACTATTTTCTCATTGTCTAGCATTTGTCTCTTCTATCCCAGACAAACACTGACTTTTTCCTGTACTAATGCTATTTTTCCAAAAGGTCTAGGACACTGGTATCAACATAAGAGCCCGGGGCCAGAATTGGCCCGGCAATTTCTCCAATCTGGCCTGCTGGGACAGCTTTGGAAAACATGAAGGAGATGATATATTTTTAGACTTTTAACTGTATTTTTAGATGTTTTGCAGCTTTTCCTGCTGTTAAAGACCTCCCCACAGTGATTTTTATTACCATTCATATTCAGTAATAGATAAACAAGCAAATGACAGAAAACTTTATCGTGTAGAAAAACTAAGATATGCTGTTGAAATTGCACTTCTTTATCTTTTATTAATATATAAAAGGGAAATAAATGTGTAGTTAATCAACTTTACACTAACACAAAGTTGATGTGGCCCTCCAGACAACATGAGCTTGACATCCCTGGTCTAGGACAAAAGCAACCACATTTTGCAGTTTATTGTACCTCTGCCACAGAGCTAGAAGGCTCTCTAACATAGATTTCTTTTCTGAAGCCTTTTCCATTAACTCTCTCTGCTGCTTCTGGAGGTTAGCCACTTCTTCCTCCAGCTGGCTGCCCTCTCCAAGCCTTTTTGTGGCCGAACACAGGGCCATAAGCCTGGGCTTCAGAAGCTCAACAGTCTGGCAGACCTCCTGGGATAAACACAAAAATACTTGTTATCAACTGCACATTAAGTAAACCCTTGAAAATACAACATAATAACATGGTGCCACTCTGAAAAGGAAGCCAGTGATACTTATTCATGTATCAAAGAGCTGCCAAGTTGTGCTCTTACAATGTGATCCTGGAGGGCTTTGTAGGTCTCTAATGATGATACGCAGCATGTGATCAGACAGTCCAGTTTTTCATTCAGATCACTAACTGTTTTCTTAACCTGATAATAAAAATAAAAAAGTCCGTTTGTATTGTGTAATAAAATACCTTTAATAAAAGTCATAAATTGTGTGATGCTCTAAACCTGTTCAAGGTTATCATTGCATCTCTGCCTGTAGGAGGCGCTCTGGTTGAGCTGCACGCCAAGCTGCTCTGCTCTCCCCTTCAGCTCTTCCCAGTATTGTCTTGTCTGGTTAAGTTGCGCCCGGATGCGACCGGCCTCTCCAGAAGTCACAAACCTGGACAGAGCCTCGCAGTCGGCCTCCATGAGGACAAGAACCGCCTTTCTCTCCTCTAAAGCTTCCCCCACGGCCTGGAGAGATGCAATAAGAGAGGAATTCAACGAGGGAAAGCATACAGGAAATTACGACGATAAAAGATCGCTCTTTCAAGAAGAAATTTATTTTCAAACTGAGAAGAAAAAAAAGGCAGATGATGGCAGTATCCTTTTTTTTTTCTAAAAACCATCATGAGAGTGACAAGTCTGGGATTAGGCATGCCAAGATTATATTTTATTAAATATGATCAATTTATTTCCTTTAAATTCCAGCCTCTGCTACAGCACTGACCCAATTTCCCTTGGGGTTAGATTAAAATTTAATCTCATTTCATCATAATCTTAATCATTTTGGGCCACAGTGATACTGTAAACTACAGACACAAGACCAGACAGCAATGTGACTCCAGTTTAACTGAAGCAACCAAAAAATATGATGAGTATTTACTTGTGAAGATATAAAAAATATTTAAGGAGTTGTGTAAAAAGTGTGCAGTGAACTGCCTCACCTTTGACTGACCTCCAATTGGAAACCTTGTGATCAGGTATACAATGTAATGCTGTGATAGAAATATAGACCTGCACAAACCTCTACAGCGCTGATGTGTTTGTCTAAAGGATCAGAGGAGGAGAAAATGTTGACAGCGTCCAGCTCCTTCTGTTTCTGATTGATCCAAAGAAAGAAGGCCGCTGATTCACTGCTGAAGCGCTCCCACCACACAAATATCATCTCCAGCTGGACAACACTGGGACACATGAGATTAGGCAACAGCCCAAGGTCAGAATATTGGAATGAAAACAAACAACCAGACAATAGCATGGATGCAATTTGCAGGTGAATGCCAGACAGACATCATATGTTGGCAAAATACAATTTCACATTTTGATACTTTAGGTTTTTTCAGACTAATATCACAAGTTAGTTTTTACACTTAAAGCTCATTATTGGGCACTCGTAAAACTGCCGGTTAAGGCCCGTACCACATTTCAGACCTTTATTGCATGTAATAGAAGAAAATAGTCAGACATACTTCTTGTTGAGGTGGTCTTGAAGTTGTGCGATTGCTTCTCTGGTGGACTGCGCCTGCTGCAGGAGAAGAGTCTGAGTCTTCGGACCAAGCTGAATGTCTTCTGCTTTCTCTGAGAGGAGATCTGCTCGTATAGAGTACTCCTCGACCTCCGTGAAGAGTTCCTATAGACCGAAAAACAAGCAGTTACACAACATGACCAAATACAGGCTAATAAATCAGAATATGAATGCATGCACGTTTTGCACATACACACCTTGTTATGCTTCAGTTCAATTTTCAGGCTGTCCAAGCAGTTGAAAAGGAGTTCCTTGTGCAATTCATTGTCAGTATTGCTGATGAACCTCCAAACTGTTTCTCTTTCTGCTTCGAAACTTTCCCAGGAGCTCAGCGTTGCCTTGAAGTGACAAAGAAATGAAAGAGTAACGTTAGTAGGTACAAATTCAGACCTGATGATAACATGCACTATTTACACAAAGGAGATGGGCACTGTAATATTTACTGCCATTCTCCTGATTTCATCTGTAAGCATAGGGTATTTTACGACAGCAGATGATCTGCTGTCTTAAAATACACCGACATTTACTTTTAATTTTCTGATCAATTCACGGATAACGACAAGTGTACAAAGAAATCACAAAGTAACAAACAAAATTAACGTGCAGGATAACAGTCAGCAATAGGCTAATCAATTATCACAGCGGGAATGTGTGTGGATGATCAATGACACTCACACGTGCAAACACCAGGGCGCCGACATGAGAAAAATCTTGGCTCTGCCTACCTGCAGACTTTGCTCCTTTGCCCCTGATTTGTGGTCAGCCTCACTGAAAGCTCCTTCCAGCTCCCGTAGAGATTGACTGAGCCCCTCCCCTTTCTGCAGCTGGCGGCAGTGGGACACCAGAAGCTCTGCCTCTCTCCTGTTAGCATGCAGGTGCTTTAGGTGTTGCTATAACACACAGACACAAAAACAACATGCTATTTTGTGAGCAACCTTGATTTTGCTTTGCCTTGCTCAAACCATTCATAATGTAAACTGTTAAACAGTTAAATTAAATACAAAAGAGACTTTCAAACATGGAAACCAAGTTGTTACAAGTGCATTTGTACTAAACAAATACCTGGTGAATAAGGTAAAGTTGTTTGGCTTCCTCCAAACCCTCAGCATCCAGGATTCTGCCTATCTGCTCCTCAGCCTCTTTTCGGGCCCTCAGAACCTCCTCCAGAGCACCATGAATCTCGTCCCTCAGCTCCTCATACTGGAACATGGCAGAGCCCTCATCACCCAGCTGTGGCAAAAAGGTCATTGGATTATTTTTTGATGAAAATTTTCAGTACGGAAGAGAATATTCAGCACTTATCCTGGAATACCTGACAGAGTGAAGAGTAAACTGCCCGCAGGTCAGTTGAGAGTTTAGCCAAGGCTGCTCTTTGCCTTTGGACTTCCACTTCAGAGCTAACTTCAGACAGCACAGCAAGGCGGCTCTTGAGCCACAGCAGACTCTCCTCTCGAGTATCCACTGCTTCCTGTAGTGCCTGGAATTGATGGAAGCACTAGATGTTAACTGAAGTTGAAGTATAGCCTAATCTCAGTGCCTAAAGCAGCAAATGTAGCCCACTAGCTCACCTGAACAGCAGCATCAAGTTGCTCCTGATGACGGGAAGTTATTGCTGTTCCTCTTAAGAGCCTCATTTGCCTTTTTTGAGATGAGAGCCAATCAGAAAGCTCGCAGAACCTAAAATAAAAATGGACCACTGAGTTCTGCATTTGCTTTAAATCACTTTAAATCTGTGCTTTTTGCCCATCTTTACCTCTCATTCCACTCTTTCCATTTATCAGGGTGCTGCTCCAGCTTGAGGTGGGTGCTCTTTATCTGCTCTGTAACCTCTTCTACGGCCCTTCTAGTGCAGTCAAGCATTCGATAAGCTTGGTCGTTGTCAGGCAACTTGTAACACAGATCCTCCATGTTTCTAATCCTCCTCTCGCTCTGAATTAAAGGTTTGCGTTCCCTGAAGAAAGTCTGAGGAAGAAGAAAAAAAAAGAAAATTAAGATATGAGAGGCTCCCGAATGTCAGTGATAACAACATTAAGTGATTTTGTCTTTCTCTGATTTTCAGTTCTATCTGTTTCAATTTTCCACTAAATCCGAGACTCACTCTGTGCTCTTTGATCACTCGCTCGCTGGTGCAGGTGCCAGACAGGGCTTGCATTTCTCTGTGCAGCTCTGCTCTGCAGTCTTGCAGGATCACAGCAACTCGGCTTCGCTCCACATCCACCTTGAGACGGAGTAGGTGAGATGGTACCTCGCTCTGCATGTCCTGTAAAAAAGATGGAGATGAGACAAAACATAGCAGACCTGAAAGCTACCCTTAAGTGTCACATTGTATCTGTCACTGATCAAAAGTTCCCTGGAGTGGCTGCAAATAAACACAGAGAGGGTTGCATTTTTATCTAACCAGATTAATTGGAACCAGACTGGAGGGACTCTATTGAAGCCAAAGGTTTTCCTGGTTAAGTTAATGAAGTAGTGCTTATGCGCCTCAAGAGGTGTACAGTAATTAGTGAGAGTGGTAAACCATGGTGACCTCTGACCTTCCAGAGTTTGTGCAGCCTGCGGACAGTTTCCTGCAGCCCCTGTTGCTCCTCCTGTGGCAGGATGTCCGTGAGCTCATCACACGCTTTCAAAAACACGCTCAGCACCCGCTGGTCCAGTTGTCCAAAGAAATCCTGTAATGTAAAATAAAATAAGAGTAAACACGACACAAGACAGAGTAAAAGTTAAGTCAAGAATGTTAACACTCTACCCGTTTCCACTTAAAAATGTAATTAGAAAATAGAAATGCCTCTGCAGATTAGCCGCAGCTTTCACAGACATGCTTAGAGGTTAGAGATTTAATCTTACAGTGTGTTTCTTTAATAATTCCTCAGCATCTCCAGTCTCTCTCAAGCAGCCCTGAGCTTTCTTCAGCACTCTCTCCAGCTCTTGTCGTGATTCCTCAAATCTCCTCCTCAGGGAGTTGTTGGCCTCTTCCTGCCTTCTCCATTCTCCAACCTCCTTTAGCAAAGCCTGAGAGGTTAGATAGTAGTAATACAGTGTAATTACATTATTTGTCCTACAAACAAATGAACAGTAACACACATGGTGGGTAAATCTAATCTGCACGAATCCCTTGTGTTTTTCTGATGTCTGTGTAATCTCTATAGTATAATCAGTATTGTGGTTTCTGACTGGCATTCTGGTATGCAAATGCATGTAATGCATAACTGTAATACTAACCTGTGCCGAGCCCTGAATTTCAACAACTCTCTTTTGCAGCAACGATATGTCGAAGTTCCTGAGCACCTTACTGGTGGAGAGCGCCCTCTGCAGAGAGTGGTGGTTCCTCTCAATCACCGATAAACATCGTTTACAGCTTTGCTGATGGTTTAACAAATCCTGTCACAAAAGGGGAGACAAGAAGTTTAAAAAAAATTACTTGTGTTTCCAATATCCATCCATCTGTCCATCCATTTTCTTATCTAGCTATCCAATTTAGCGAGGCAGCGTGCACACTGGACAAGCCGACAGTCCCTGAACTGGATGAGTGGAAGAAAACGGATGGATAGACTTTTACAAGTTTGGACACAGTGTAAATTGTAAATAAAAACAAAATGCAATGACTTGCAAATGTCATAGACTCATATTTTATTCACAATGGGACACAGAAAATATTAGTTTAACCTGAGATAATGTTATCATTCCATGAAAAATATGAGCTCATTTTAATTTGATGGCAGCAACGCATCTCAAAAAAGTTGGGAAAGGGGGTGACAAAAGTAAGTGGTGTTAAAAAAGAAACAGCTGGAGAAACACTTTGCTATAATTAGGTTAACTGGAAACAGGTCAGTAACATTACTGAGTATAGAAAGAGCATCTTAGAGATGCAGAGTTCCCCAGAAGTAAAGATGGGAAGTGGTTCACTGCAGAAAACTGCATCTAGAAATGACACAATAATGCTCCTCAGAGTAAAGTAAGCACATATTTTAAGTAAGCAACATTTCAACACAAATATCTCTTCTTTCTACTCCTTGAATTTTCATAAGAGGCTCATTGCTTTGAAGACGTTTGAGGGGAGTTATTATTTTCTGTCAGCGTGCATCAGATTTGAATATAAAAGAAGGGAACAATAATACATAAAAGATACAGCAACAGGACTGTAGTGTTATAAATGCAGATCACTGCTTATGGAGCTGGCAGCTCATATCCATAATAACTGTGAAAAAATAAAAATAAACTGAAAAAAGAATAAAAACATATCTAGTAAGCACTTATTGTAAATTTAACGTGTTCGTGTCTGACCTGCCACTTGTATTTTTGCTGGGCTTGTGCCTGTGACTCTGGGTCTCTCGCAGCAGAAGTGATGCGACTCGCTCGCTCCAAGGCCTGGTAAAAAGTGTTGATGTGTTTCTCCATCTCCTCCAACAGCGGCAGAAAGGCATGACACTCCCGCATCAGAGATGGGCACCGCTCTCTCACCTGAACAGATACAAAACGGACCGCTTAACAGTGAAAAAATGTATTAACTTAAAAGGCTTTGTGTTTACCCTCAAATGAGACTCACCTTGCTTAGTTGACCTTTGACTGTTGCCATAGTTGCCATGACCCTGGTTGCCTCATCCTGTGGAGCATCCTTGGCAAGGAGCTGAGCGCTGCGGGCAGCCAACTTGTATTGTGTCTCCATAGCGACAACCTTTTGCTTGGTATTCTGCGATGTGACGTGCAAGGGTAAAGGGTCATTTCATACGTTCTTAAAGTGAATGCACTGCCATCAAAGCTGTTTTAGTAATAAAAATGCTGACATCAATAAAGCAGTGACTTGCAGCTTTTAGTAACACCTTATCAAAAACGTATGAGAGTAAAGCCGTTTTCGCACATTGAGTGCAGATGTGAAATCTCACTTTATCGTGATTCAAGCGTGACTTTATCTGATTTGTCTCAGGCGAGGAAGAGAGCTCGAGCTTCAATTCATGTTGACCTGAGCCAGTGACATTATTTACTGCAGTCATGAACATTTCTAAGCATTAACTGATGAAACTGCATTTATGGGACATAAATTCTGGACGCTCTCAGATCAGATCTTTAGCTGCCTTTAACCACCACAAAGTCTGACAGATATCTGGTGCCATGCATTAGAGTACAGAGAAGAAAATTATCCGAATTTCACAGTGAGTGGGCGTCACACAAGCTTACTTCTGTTTGCTCTACCCAGATAGTACCATTGCCAAGACCAAGGACAGTATTGCCAGCATAGTGGGAATGCATCTAAAATAGACTATGGTCTGTTGTATGTAACTAATTCTCAGACAAAGTCTGAAATACAGTCATGTCAAAAAGGAAGAATATCAACAGGAAAAACTCAAGAGCAGCTTCTAAGTCTCTACAAGCTTCAGTTAGCATGTGAAACGTTAAAGTTCATGACAGTACAGTTAGAAAGAGAATGAACAAGTTTGCATGGGTTGCCAGGGGAAAGCTTGTTCTCTTTTAAAAAAGAACATGGCGGGATCGCTTAGGCTTGCAAAGTTACATATGAACAATGTGCTTTGGACAGATGAGACCAGAGTGGAGATAGTTTGTCATAAAACACAGCTTATTTGCAAGCAAAACACCTGACACCAGCTATTAAGTGTGGTGGAAGAGGAATGATTTGGGCGTGCATTTTACAGCCACAGGATCTGGGCACCTTATAGCCATTAAGTCAACCCTGAATTCCTCTGAGTAACACATTCTTGGCTCATGCAACAGGACAATGATCCCCAAGCACAGCAACAAATCTAAAATAAAAGGACTGAAAAAGAAACTGTTCTAATGGCCCAAGGAACAGAACACAACCCCACTGAAATGCCGTGTTGGGACCTTAAAAGGTGTACCGACAAATACACACCACAAACAATTACTTCAATTTATTGCTGCTAAAGTTAGCTTATAACAGGATGACACAGAGTCCTGTTAAAAGTCCCTCTTTAACATGGAAAAGAGAGTTTACATGTCTGAAAATGGCTTGGAAGGACTTGAAACAGTTACGTTTCACCTGCTGTTGGTGTGTGGGGCAGCTGTGTTCCTAAAAAGAGCTGTGATGACCATTCTCTTTGAAATCACATAAAGCTAAGAGTAAAAAAAAAAAACTCCATCTAGTTCCATATTTGAAACTTTGGCCATGTTTAACATGAGTATCCACCATGAGTAACAGCAAATAAACACAACAGGAAAAGAAAGAAAGAAAAGAAAATGCATATTAGGTCCACTTCAGAGTCAGGCTTGTCATTCTCGACCAGCTTAAGAAAGAACAGATTTGAAACAAACTCTAAGCGATGTGATCAGGGATGGTCTAATATAAAGTACTGTATGTATGTAAGTGTAGGTGCCCATTGAAAATCTAAAGTATCATGATGCTGCAATGCCACCAGCTTAAAAAAACATTACTGACAGGTTGTATTTTTACTGTCAGGCTATATTATCTTTTACATTTGATAGTTAAACTGACAGTTTGCTTTCCTCACCTCCACATCCTGAAGAAAAGCCCTAACACTGAGGAAAGAGACTTGAACAGGAGCATTGAGTTTGGCTTCGGCAGTGTCCAGCAGCTCTTTCAGGGCCCAAATAGCCTTCAAGTGTTCTTTTCTCCACTTCTCCAACTCATCTGAATGGGCATACTGCAGCAAAAAAGAAGCTAATTACACTTTACACTGAGAAATGAATCAAACAGAGCCAGCACATATGTTTTGACCCAATTCTGTCTTTGTCTGACAGGCAGTATTTTTAGATGTTTTCATTCATTACTTGTTTGACTTTGAGGAAGAGGTCTCTCCATCGCCCGTTTAAAATGAGTAGCTGCTGCTTGAGATCAAGTGACACTGTCTCGTCACACGTTTCAATAAGAAAATTCCCTGCATCGTTCATGGCCGCATGCTGATCCATCCAGTGGCTGAGATCCCTGAAAAACTCCTGGAAGACAAAGAAATTAAGAGAAACAAAGAGCGAGTGTCAAAGAAAGAGATGAAGAAAGCTAATCAAAAAAGGAACAAAGAAAGTGATTCAAAGAAAGAAACAAAGGAAGGACAATAAAAAAGTGGGGTAATTAGATGTCTAATCCTAGACGGAGATGTGAGTCTGTGTAACCATGGCAATGCAACAACAGGAATATCCTCAGCGGCTTGTTGAAGGATCATTTGATACTTGAGTGGAGACTCCTAATAAGCTTCCACATAAAAAAACTAAATTCTTCAAAATGGCTTGATTGCTACAATTAAATCTGAGTCCATCAAATAAATGGGTGTATGAACAGGCTCCTAATCTGTTCACAGAAAAAATAAAGTAAAAAAATCAAAGGCTCAGACAGTATTAAGATCTAATCTCATACCCGTTTTGTGTTTTCTGGCTGGCTCAGGGCTTCCTCTGCATCTTCCAGCCAGGCCTGCAAAGAGGCCACAGTGGAGGTGTACCTCTCCCAGTTGGACAGCACTTCCTCCAGCATGCTCCTCACGCTGCGCACTTCCATGGACAGACTCCTCCACTGAGTCACCACCTCCCGCATAAACCTGCGCACTCCCATCTCGCCTTCATCCACTGGAAGAGAGGTAAAGTTTAACAAGAATGACAGCTACCGATAACACCACCATTACCTCTGATTCTGCTGCCGCTAATAATGTCACTTATTCACAAGAGTCAAATGGAAAATGAAGCACTGAAGCAGCTGTTTTGAAGCTGCAGCTGTACCTTTTATGTCTGTGTGTGCCTGATGACTTTCACTGCTTTGTTTCACATCACCACACTTTGGCAAAGGCAGGGGAACACTCGATAAAGCAAAAGGAGGCACACGCTTTTGCAGAAAACTCCCTGACCCCAAAAACTCACTACAAGGAGATGTATCATCTGTGCTTGTGCTACATTCTTAGATGCAAACTCTCTAGTTGTTAGAGTATGTGCAAAACAATGGCATAAAGACGCACATCAGATAAACGCAATGCTTCTAAAATGGGAGACAAAAAACAGATCAGTACCCTAACCCTTTTCCTTATTTTTCTCAGGCAGCCAATCAGAAACCACGATGCTAACTACAGTACCAGCAGGACCTGCTGCATTTCATTTGTGGGGTCGACCAATCAAACCTCAGATGTCCTGATTTCTCACCACACCTCACTTCTCTGCTCTGCATACCCTAAAGCAATGCAACCCTGAAACCTAATGAAACCAACAAGCTAGCTCAGTTTGCGCCCAGAGACCTGCAGAAGTGGAGCAGCCCCCCAACTAGCAAATGGGGTCGTATTCCCCACTGAGAGCAGAGAGTGGAGGAACCTCATTTAGCTGTAGCCTGCAGACTCTCCTCCTCTATCAAATTGTGAAACCAGTCAGGGGCAAACTGAGCTGCTGGCAGGGAAAGCCTCATTGGTTAGTGAGTTGTTGAAAAGGGAAATAAAGTTGAAATATAGTGAACAATTGAGAGATACTGATCTCAGCCAGGATACACTGGAAGTATCAGATCAATTTCAGATTAAAGTTCCATTAAAAGGATGAGAATGCATTGGAAATGTGACATAATAATGATGTTCCCAATCAATGAGCAGGACTGCTTTAATGCATTGTTGGACATTTTATGTGATTCTGACATCATCGCAATAAAGCGCCTTTCAGATTACTGTCTGGCAGGATATTGATAAACATTTCCCAGACTTCCCGGGAGAATTACTGAATTACTTTATTATAAGAAAGTGATAGGATAATAAATGCAATATATATACATATAGTAAATATTACACCTTGAGCTACTCACCTGAGCTGTCAGCACTCACATAGGCCTCTGCAGACAGTTTCAGAGACTGGAACAACATCTCATAGTTTTCAAAGAAACGCTGCTTCTCCACAAATGACTGATGAAGACAGATTCCAAAAGAAAATGTTATTAGATGTGAAAAGCATCTTAACAGATACACAGAAACAGAACTAAATATCTTATACATGTGCTATGTAATGGTAACTATCCTTCATCAACCAATAATTATTATACAATATACAAAAATTAATTCAAAATTAAAAATCCTTTCCACATAAGCATGCAGGTGAACCCTGAAGATCAAACTACACAAATCAGAGACTGAGCTTACGATATAGCTGTGAAGCATCAGTTCCACAGATTCCTGTTGACCATATTTGATGATCCAGGACTTTAGTTTGGACTCAGCCAGACTGAGGAAGGCCTGCATGTGATGTTTGTTCTCCAGAAATTCCATTTTTGCTAAGTGGATGCTAGAAGATGTAGAGATAAAGTTCATCCTAAAAAAGACACAGTTCATACAGGGACATCAGACCTATACCTCGACCTTCTCATACTGCTGCTTTCCCAAAAAGCAAGGTTGTGAAAAAAAACACACCGACTGAGGTGCCAAATTTCTTTCAAATAATCTGTTCTTATCAGAAAAACATTACCACGAAGAACATTAATTTTGTATTCTGCACTTTCAAGAGAGACTAGCAGGAGTTTTGTTTACCTCTCAGCCATGTCTTGGAGCTGGTCTGGGGGAACAGGCACTCCATCAACACTTCTGTCTTTATGGATTCTCTGAAAGACCTGCTGGTGACTTTCCAGGCTCTTCAACACATCCTGTGCAGAGTACACCGAGTAAAGATATGAAAACAGACATAAAAATGTATTTATACATTCTGTGTTCATTCTAATAGTATGTTTGATTCTCACACTCTATTGTGCTATGTATGGCTCTGCACTAACCTTGTGCTGCTCCAGAGCTCTATGCACAGTGCTGGCTGTGATATCATGTGCCTGCTGGATGGTTATCTCCTGCCGCAGAGCTTCCTCGGCCTCATGCAGCCATGCTCCCACTGTGTCCAGAGGAGCTGGCAGAGACCTATCCAGCTGAAGATGCCAGTCCAGTAACTAAGATGGATAAAAACAGACGATGTCTCCTGAAATAATGACCTCATCACACAAATAATTTAATTTTTAATTTCTATAAAAAAAAAAGAAGGAGACACTAAGTCATCAGCTCTTTATAAAAAACACAACTTGTGTTAGCCCAAATAAGGTAAAAGGAAATAACCTTAAACGATAAATCATCATACAAGCTTAAAAAATGGCTGATTCTCAGAGTTGCTGGCAAAGCACAAAATAAATTCAAATTATGCCTTCTGAAGTCCTTATGTATGAATTAGAACATTGTAAACACTCCATCGACCTCCAGGAGTAGCTTTAAATATCTTTAGATATCACTTTTTCTGAATGGAAAAAAAATGCTCTGTGTACAATTCTGAACAGGAGGCGAGTGGGTAATCCCGCTGCTCTCACCCTTTTGGAGATCCTTTCCCAGGCCTGTTTGACCAGAGCCTGATCCACAGTCAACATCCCATCCCTCTGAGTAGACTGCAAAGCTCCCTCCACCTGCTTCCTCCTCATCTCCAAATGGACACGCAGACTTTTGAACAGCTGAAAAGCAAAAATCATTGACTCACAGCTCTTTATCCTCGATAAAAGGATGATAATGAGTGTTCTCTCCCTCACAGGTCATACCCTTTTCCCATTTGCATCTTATCAGATCCTCATATGTTCTACCTTTAAAAACTGTCCCTCTATCTGGCTTTAGACTTTCCGAGCTATGCAATGACAATGAGGATATCCCACATGCTGCTGAATATGGAATGTATCCCGAGGCTTGGTGGAATAAGCCAGATTGACTGAAAATATGACGGCTGCTGCCTGATCCCCACAGTCTAATACCACTGATTAAGCTAATAATAGGAGCGTCTGTGCCCAGTGTGCCCAGTTTAAACACACCCCGCCACAGACACACACACACTCACACTAACCTGGTACTGCTGAGCAAGACTGCCCTCAGTCTCCTGAGCCTGTATTGCATCTCTCTCCAGCTGGTCGAGCCACATCCTGAGCTCCCTCAGGCTCTTTCGCTGCTCTCTCTAGGTGGCCGGGATCATGCAGGAGTGGCAGAGTGAACGAGTAGGAGATTGGGAAATAAAAGAAAAGAGGACAGTGCACCCAAAAAAAGGAGGAAAGAAAAGAAGACAGAGTGGAAAAAGTGATTGACCGGGATGAAAAGAGGAAAGAAGGGAACAAGAAAGCAGAGCATGCACGGTTAAACATGTGTTCCCCTAATCCTCTGTGTCTCCCTGCAGGACAAAACGTCAAAAACCCACAGCTGCCAACAACACTCAGCTTAGACAGGGTACTTTGTCTAAGACCCCCTAAGAACATTTCATTGGATTTTAAATAAGCATGACGATAATGCGATGCTGCTAAAAAGCTTGTGCGATAGACCATTCCGTTTGAGAGCTGTTCAGTCTGAATCTATTCACTTGTACCACCCCTCCTGAAGGAAGCCCCAACTTTATTCTCTATGACAGCTCAGAACATGGAAGTAGATCAAGTTAATTCTAAAAGGAAACAGTCTGCCATATTTTACTCACCATCATTCTCTAAATATTTTCTACCCAAGTGTTTATGCTTCTGTTTATTTTTTAAATTCACGCTTTGTCACAGCTAATTAATCTCCCGTGCAAACACCAGGCAGTAAGGAAGAACAAAAAACCCTATCGGTGCTGTAAAACAGCAAAACACGGTGTGACATACATCTGGACACAGCAAACAATAAAAAAGGCCAACCTCTATTCACAAGCTTTCCATCAAATATGCTGTATCAGTGCACACTGCCGATGCCAGAGGCCTTCATTGTCATGCTAATGGGACCGAGAGCCAAAGCGCTCAGTGGTAGCATTCATAAATGGTAATATCACATCTTATTATATTGGACTTCCTTCCGTTATCATGGCTTAGAAACCCCGCGGCCCGAATATCACATCAGGTTAGATAAAGAGCCAATATTAGGATACAGGCTTTATTTTGACATGAAAAATCAGTGTTTAATCCCATTCTTACAAAGTACAGTAGGGACTGATACAGCAATCCAATAGAGGAGGCAGAAAAATGTGCTTTAATCAAATTTATATGGAAACCATGAATGATCATGGGTGGTAATTGCATTGTGTTGGAGGAAATTATTGAAAACTCTCCCCTGGGAACCGAAGTGGCTAAATAACCTACCTCCAACATTTCCTCTATATCCCGAGGTGCAAGATCATGCTGCAGAACAGAGTCCAGCACAACAACCACAGGAAAGCAGTCACCATACAAACGCACCAGAGAAGAAGACAAAGAGCAACACAAAGAGAGAAAGATGTACAAAAACGAAACACAGAACAGACAAGACACTGCAGCAGCTCGTTTCAACCTACTTTAAAAACTAGATAGCTTCAAGTCATTAAATAAGAGATTTTAACTAAATTCTGAATCAATTAAATATAAAATTAGACAAGCAGATTTTTCTTTTCCCCCTGAACCTTGAACATTGCACTTTGATAGCTCAAAATGATTATAAATAATACACATACAAACATACAAATACATATACAAAAGACAAACATTCACTATGCAGAAAGAGAGAAGATGATCACAATGACAGGCTATCGAGACCGAGACAGCCGGTTACCTCTACTTGTAGCTGTCCCTCGGAGCCGCTCTGCTTTCGTTCTGGAAGATGCTTCAGGAATTGGGCTACATATGTCATGACAGATTTCTCATCTGGCTTTTCTACGTCGACATCTGAGACGGGAACCAAATAAATAAAATCAGAAGTCAAATAAGCTGGCTGTAAATTCTTCAAGTTTTCTCATAGAGAAAAATATCAGCCGCTGATAAGAATCAGCTTGACTGAAGGAGACAAGCGGGCATCTCAAATAAAATCAATTTTCACCATTTCAGATCAGTGTCCAAGTTTTGTTTGGGGGTTCCGCCATGCTGGATCTCATGGCCTAATGCACCTTAATTATGCTGATGTCAAGCTTGATTTGCTGGAGTACATTTTGAAGGGCAGGCATGAAGGGGAGCAGATGGTGTCTGGCAGTGAAAGTGAGATGCACATCTGATGCAAGGACTGACCCAGTATTGTACAGTATTTCTATTCTCTAAAACTTGCCTTGCAAACATTTCCGACAGTATTCATGCCCCATGGTAGGCAACTGTCTCCTCAGTCTTGTGTCTAGTTTAACTTCCCCCTTGTTATCTCGTCATCTTGATTTAACTGAGCTGTATTTTGGTATCCTTCTGTTTCTACTCTCCTTGATTACCTTCATGCGTATAAATAGTCCTGTATGGTTTCTTAGTCTTTGTCATAACATTTGTTTACCTGTCCTTCTGTTCCCCCTGTCTGTTTTCAAGAAGCTTTTTAGGAATATGTTTTATATTTTAGACATTTGGGGAGGACTACTTTTGGGTCCTTCTCCTGCAAATCGTAACAGAAATTTGGGTTTAATGAGTAAACATCCCCTTGTACTGGTGAAAGCCGGGGTGGTGGTGACATTGAAACACCACGCAGCAGAGGAAGAAGCATGTTAGAGGAAGAAACAAGACATTTTTCAGCTTAGGATGTGTTTGGTATATGTAGGTGTATAATGCACCATGGCTTCAGTGGACTGCCTATCTGCCTCTTTACTGCATTAATCTGTATTTTGTAGCAGAGAGAATCCAGTCAGCGACCTAAAATATTATTTTAGGTCGCGACCAAATTTTTTAATGGTGCGACTAAAAAACATATTAGGTTGCACCGGTGCGACCAACTGTTTGAGTAACAAAAAAATAAATAAATACTCTGCAACTCCGAACGTCTCCGTGTGGTCAACAGCAGACACACATTATGCCCCTATCGTGGTCTAAACCAATCAAAGATAGTCAGGGGCGGGACCTCTCTGATTGATCGTGGTCCAGATATTCATGTAGTCCGTGTGTATGTTTGAAAGTGCAGGGCAGGTGGATAGAGAGAGGTGAGTAGCTTGAATAAAGCGATATCGATTCATTAAATCCTGAATCGACTTTTAAATATAAATGTCTTTTTCCAGGTAATTTTCTCAGGTTAAAGCTCACAAAACTATTTCAACAACCACCAAACAGCAAATGAGAGCAGGTTAACGGACTCCACACGGCATCGGGGCTGAAAGCCGACAGCTCACTGATTCTGATGTGTCAGGTCTGCGCTGTGTTTATGTCTTTTCTGCACTAGATTCTGAGCGGCCTCTCTCCAACCAAAATTCACTGAACCAGCAGCAAAAGAATCAACAAACTACGCTTCACATTTGATAAACATCGTCATGAATTCTCTCTTACTTTTGCTATTTTTTGCTCTACCACGATAAAAAAAAATCACACTTCATGCACAGCTCTCTCTCTCTCTCTCTATGTACTTCAAGAACAGTTTTCCATCTCAAATCGTGATAAATGCACTGCCCAAGTGTCCCCTCTCCCCATTGCCTTTCAGCGGCAGGCAGCAGCAAACAGGTGCTGGTCGTCAGAGGAGGCCGATGTGATGATTAAGTTTAACATTGTCTACAATATTGCCAAAGAGTGCCAAAGCACTTTAAGCACAAGCACAAGATTATTAGTTAATCATTTACAAATCAATATTGTCTGTATGGACAGCAATCCCGCCCCCCCCCAAAAAAAGTGCACATGTGAAACTGCGGTGTTAAGTGAAGCGGTTGAAAAATTTGGGTGTGCCTAACTTTTGCACTGGTGCGCCTAAGAAAAAAATGTAGGCGCACCAGTGCAACCATGGCAAAAAGTTAGTCTAGAGCCCTGTTAAGACAATAAAAAGAAATAAAATACATAGTAATTTTATGCCTACTTGTAGGTTTGTTGCTGGTCAGGCTCAAGTTTGCTTTTGATAAACTTAATGACAGAGTCACTCTGAAATGCTACTGGAAATGTTATTTACCCTCTGGCTCAAGAAGCTGTGGAATCCCTAGCTCAGTCTCGGCCAACAAGAAGGCTTCATGAAGATTTTCCCGATTGGGCCTTCCCCATACTCGCTCCATGTCGACAAGATTAGGCCGGAGAGCATTGATTACCGCGAAGAATGCTAAACCAGTACGCCAGCTGGGGCCAAAGTCCCTCACCTCAAGGCTCAGACTTCTAGAAAGGACAGAAAATTACAAGGTCACAGCAGAGAAAAAACAAAACATAACCTACAACCTGCAGCAACACTTGACCATCAAATCAGACTTCATACTTGGTGGCTGTCTGCTGGACCCATCTCAGTAATGCCTTTCTGGCTCCACCCTGCAGAGGAGGAAGAGTCTTCTTTTTGAGGGGTGGGCTGGTGATCTCAGTGCTGCTGGTGGAGCTGTCCAGTGAGGAGGTGCTGCTGGACATGGTATGGAGTGCTGGTAGGCTACTGGTTAACTCCTCAATCTGGAAGCAACAGAATACCAACTAAAGTCAGGCTTAGCCACAGTTAGTGATTCAACTGCGTTTCTCCCTGTTTATCATGCCCTGTGTTGCTCTGCTCTCCGGCTCCTTCAGGTTTGTTACTTTGGTTCTTAGTTTTTCCCAGTTTAGGTGTGCTCCAAGTTGTTTGCTTAATTATTAGATCTTGTGAGTGAGAATCTTTTCCTAACAACCTTATAAGGAATCGTGTCTGCAAATTAGCTGTGGCTTTAATCCTTGTATACATCAGCCGCATTTTACTTAAATATTATTTTTTATCTGTGGTATCATTATATCATACTTTTTTTATTGAACAAAGCAAAAATTGTGAATCTGTACGAATAGAGTCAACGGACATATTTAAGCAAGCATGTAAATTATTATTTTGGGAGCTCAGTCTGATAATATCCTATCAGGCCTGCGGATGAGCCACAGTTTCTGTTCCCTAAAGTCAGCAGACTCAGAAAATCCATAAATAAAACAAATCAATATGTCAGTAAGTGAAAGTGTACATTTACTAGTGCACTACATTTCCTTTATTGAATATCCTTATGTCTGATGGAGTAGCAGGCATTTATGTGTACTGATGCTGCTACCAGAGTGGAGTATTAAGTTCTGATTTATTCTCTGCATGTCTGAATTACCTGAGGCAGATGCTGTTTATTTTGAGTGTAAGTACTTTTAAAGATCAACTTATTTTTTATGTCCCTTAAGCTTAAATTGCTCATTTTTTTATATATATAACTAGAAAAATACACATCTGCTCTCTCTGCAAACTGGATATTCTCAGCCATGTTAGCTGTCAGGTTAAGGTTCTTGTGGTGAGCAAGTAGTAATATTCACATCATGTTTTTCTTCTCACTGTTTTTCAAAAAATAATGCTGAATTATGTGCATTGAATCTGATGATCTAATCGCACTAATGCTGCAAAAAGTTACCTGGAAATAGAGAATGATGGTCCACACCAACCCCAGGACAATAGATGGCCGTCCATCCACGATGTCTGTTGAGTTGATGTTCACCAACTTGATCTGTGTCCAAACGCAGCAGCATTAAACTACACTATTAGAAGGTCTAGATATTTCCAGATCGCAGACTAATCTATCATTTTTTACTATTACCCCAATAAGCTAATTTTATTCAGAAAGTTAACAATAAAGAGTGTAATGTACAAACACTGCCCAGCCAAAAAAAAAGCAAAAAAAAAAAGCTCAACATCTGGATTTAACCAACCGAAAAAGTAAGCGCCATCCATAGGATTTAAGAAGATTCAAAGCGTTTATTGTCATGTGTACCAAGAAAAAGCATTTCTCTGTACAATTACATTCTTTCTCTGCTGTCCAATTGCTCGGGTGTAACTGATGCTACGACTAGCTTCTTGTTTCATAAACAACGATATCCTATCTCATGACTTAAACATTCATCCTCAAGAAAGAAATTATGTAGCTGGAAAAAATCTTGTTTGTGGTCAGAGATCACTTAAATATTTGGTGAAATCAAATATAATGAATAAATAAGTCTACTAGTGAAAGTAGAAGATTTTCCTTATACACAATGTGAAGGAAACTGATGGGATTAGGACTAAACAATTGTGCAGGGTAAAGAAAACCACTTATCAGTAGCTTTAGTTTAGTTGGGAGCAAACGGGTTGAACTCTGGAACAATGGAAAAAGTATTATGATTTGGGGTTGCTTTAGTTGGTCTGGTTCAGGAATGTTATGTGGCCAAAAAATACATGGGGTCAGCAGAATCTACTTAATGACCAGATAAATGTTTTTAAAGATCAAAATGGCAGGATTCAAAGAGGGCACCAGTGTGAAAGAGTTGTCCAGGGAGCATCATTTTCACACATGGGTTGATCACCACAGACTTTAAACCTTAACCCCATTGAGAATCTTTGGGATGTGCTGGAGAACTGATCAGACTCTTCTAACATCAATACAAGATCGTGGCACAAACATAATGCATTTATGGACAAAAATAAATATTAGGACATTCATAAGATTATCTAAACCATACCACAGCAATTAAGTCAAATGAAATAAAAGAGCACGTGACTTTTTGGCCAGGCAGTATGTTCAAGTCCTACTGCGATTGAGAATCTCTTTTTCAATAGAGTGATGTAAAAGATAAAAAGCTGCACGAATACTAACGTTACACACATTAAAGCAGGTGAACTTAACATCCAGATTGAGAACAAAACAGCTACAGGTTCAAGCTAATTTCAGTGCATCTTTAAGAGAAATCACATGTAATCATCAGAACTCCTGCATGCAGATGTTTCTGACACAATTTATCAACATCACAAAGAAAAAAGTAGAGCAATGTTATGAATACTGACCGGAGATCCTCTGTACGCAGACTGGAGGCAGATGGAGGTGGAACAGGAAGAGGAGGAGGGGGAGAAAGATAATTCATAAGTACTGGAGATGATTGAAAGCAAACGCCTGATTGACTGTGAAAAGGCAGATACTGTAGCATCTCTGAGGTGAGATAACTTGAGTGGTTGGCTGAGAGGAGAGATCTATCACTACTACACAGGCAACAGGGATTATATCCAGCAGAGATGGACACAGAGAAAGGGAGAAAGGGGCCGAGTGGAGCAAGAAACGAGAGAGAGAGGAGGCTGTATCTTGTGATATGATGAAGTATTGTATATTATCACATAGAGGGTTGTATTACTGAGGCGCCGCAGCACAACAGGTCATCTAATGGTAATACCTGCCACTCCACACATGTGAACAAGCATGAAAAACGAGATTGGGGGCAGACGAGGGCAACGTGGGGAACCGTGGGATAGTGACTGATAAGAACATATGCAATACATGGTGTTATATTAAAAAACACAGCAGGTTATCCTGGCAAATCAAAACAGTAATGCAAGGCTGGAGTGGTTAACAGAGGTATAGCGTGACCACACTGAAAACACACCAGTATAAAATGACAGCAGTAAGCATATACAGTAGCAGTAGTTGTGTTTCTTTGGATAAATTGTACTAAACTCTAAATAGCAAAACTAAAAAGTTGTGAAGCTGCGTAAAACGCTAACAAACTATCCATCCATTTTCTAAGTTGCTTATCCAGTTCAGGGTCAGGTACCTGGAACCTACCCCAGATGTTTGCATTCAAGGTGGGGTAAACACTGGAGCGGTGACCTGTCCATCACAGGTAACCAATCATCTAAATTTATTATATTAATAACACGTCAAAGGCAACATGTTAAATCATGAAAACCAAATTCAACCATTTTTTTAAATAATTTGACTATGAGTTCTTCTTTTATTGTTTAAATATTTGACACTCAGTTTTTTTACTCCTCGCCGTCTGTACTTTAGAAAGTCTCAATCTCTCCGTGGCACTCGTTTACATCCAATTATTACTCATTAAAATAATAATTTATTACTACATTTTTTTAAGAATCTTATTTCTATGTGCATTTTGTTGCCACAGTCCAAGGTTTTGTGAAACTTGTTGCTGGGATCGAAATCAAAATGAGAAAATGACCATGGTGGTGTTTACTACACCATCAGTGATGACCCCAAACCCTAACTCTTCATTCTAACAATTCAATTTAAGGGAGTCATGCACTGACTTGTGCAACTATCTCAGAGTTTCTTATAGGCTGTGGTATGTACTATGTACAGTTACAGCCGACATAACAATTTCAGGATCTGGCAACCCAACCCAGTCGTTTTCCCTAACCATAACCACAGCTTTCAATGACTAAACCCTAACCAGAGACTTTATTAACTAACCCTAATCACATGATCTGAATGCCTAATCTGTGTCAGTTAGAAATATGTTTTTTTATCCCTGACTGTCAAGAACAATGTTTTAAAAGAAGTGAAGGGAATATCGTCATAGGTTCAGGGTCATCACCGATGATTGGGGTCTGATTTTGCATCCAGTTTTCATTTACATTTTAGACAGCTTCTCTACTTTCCCAGAAGGGAGGCTTTACATCACAGGGTTTCAACAGTTTCCAAACATCAGTAAACATCATTACACCAGCAAACACTTACTTTCTATGACACAGACGCGAGACACAATCGCGGAGCAGACATGGGCAATCTAAAGCAAAATGTAAATATGCTCTGTGTGTACATCAGCTTCCCACACAGAGAGCATATTTACGTTTAATTTTCATCTCTCCGATTTACGCAGCAGAGTGCCCACTGATGTCTCATCTCCAGACAGCAGATTACTGGTTTAGGATTTACAGTTTTAACCCTGTCACACTCGAGGAAGACAAGTCAGTGTCCCCGCAGACGTCAGCTCATACTCATGGCTTTATTTATGTATATCCAAGGACGAGCCAGGCGACACTTTGAGAACGTTTTACTAATCTCATGGAGGGGCAGTTGATGCATTTAGATGATTACATTCAAAACCATATTGAGCGTTTTTTCTGATGCAATTCTGCCAATGAAGCAGAGTACGGAATTTGCTAAGTGCTAATAACATGGAGTGCAGTAGGTGTAGTGGTAATCAGCTGAAGAGAGAGAGACATTCTTCTCCATCTCTTAGAGGGAGCCAAACAATTAAATGTAATGAAGTAGTTAAGACAGAATTACATTTAACAAACAAAGTCTTTGTGGAAATATAAATCGAGAGAATCTACTAATTTCAGAATACCCAAAGGATGTGGGAATGTGAAGACAATGAGAGGCGAGAAGGAAAGAGAAGCGGGTCACACGAGGTCAAGATTCAATATTTGCGCCCACAAGGCTCCAGATGAGCAGGGAGAGGAGCAGGAAGGTTAAGAAAAAAAGAGAGAAAAAAACACATAAAAAGAAGGCGGCGAACTCTTACCTTTCTACCCTCAAGGAATTTAAGAGCTGTACCAATGTTGGCGACCCAGTGGATCCTTTTTAGCTTCTTGCCCTGTTCACATGGCTGGAAGGAGAAGGGAGAACAATGGATATGGAAAGGAAGCAAGAGAGATATTGAGAGGGAAAGAAAACGGGAGGGTAAAATGTATCAGTACATGTATAAGAAATTAGCACAGTTTAAACAGACAATAAAGCATAGATGAAAAAAATATAGCATAAACGTTTTTGAAATAATGAGACTCAGAATTCCAATCAAAGACTATAAACAAACGGATCAATAGGACAGAGGCAGATTAGACCTTAGGCAGTATTGGTCAAATGTAATCCTCAAGCCGTGTGTGTCTTTGTCTGTGTTTGTGAACTCTGATCTGTCCTTGTTAATCTGGGCTTTCCCACTCAATTCAAACATCCTAATAAAAGTCAGTCAATAGGCATTTCCATATAATTCTGGCTCATTTCACATTCACTGCATTAAGTCTGCAGCCCACTGGACAAACAAACATTCAAAAATTATTGTATTTCTCTTTTATTGCATCAGCCTGAGCCGGTTCAGTGTGAGAAAGTAGAAAATATAATCCAGAGAGATCAGAGGAGAGGACGTGTTTGAAGCTTGTAGCCAAATCCCATGATGTAGAAATGACCCACAGGCTCACCAGCTTTTGTCCTGAAAGGACTTCCAGCAAGGCCAGCAGCATCACACCATCTTTTATGTCCTCAAAGAGATCGGTCATCACCAGGGGAGGGACATGCTACAGAAGAAAACACACACATCATATGAAATAAGTAAACTTAAGTGCAATGCTTAAACTAGAAACATTGTGGTTTTTAACATTGAGAAAGACTTGAAAACACTCGTCTGAAGGCAGGTGCATACTTTATAATAACACAATTTTTCCAGGCAAGATATTTCTAAACAAGCGACTGAATTTATGTAACTGTTTGTGCAAAAAAAAAAAAAAAAAAAAAAAAAGAGGGGGGGGGGGGGGATCACTGTTTACATAAGTGTTTCATGTCACACAAAGCTTTCCCAGTTTTCTTGGAATGCAAAGAGTCAGGATTACAGAGCTAATAGGTCTAGCAATGTACAGAAAACTTTGAGGTAAGAAGTATTTTTCTGCACATTATCCCCCACAAAGCTGCATAGTGCATACATAACCCTAACATAATACATATGTTAAACTGTAAGACATTCATTTAAACTTGTGGGACATGGATAAAGGAAATCTTCATAAAAAAACTGTGCTAGGAGCCCAAACAGAGTCTGGTGGTGCCGTGTATTACTGACAGCTGGATTCATCCATAAGCGCCGGCTCAGAGGACTCTGAACGGCTTCTTCAAATCCTAAAATATGCTGATGATTTCAAACTGTATCCTTCCCATTGACTTCCTCCCTGACCTGACACAGACTTCCAGACTTGAGGAAATCCACATATCTCAGTTTTTCGCCGCCGCCGCCACATCAAGGATTTCTCTTAAAGCACAGTCACATGCTGGGGCTGAGGAGAGCTTTAGAGGGGAGGGGGAGCTTTCAGACGAGCGAACCATTCACAGGGAGATTAGCAGCAAAGGGAGTGAGTGAAGAGAGGGAAGGCAAAAAGTAGAGATGTGCGCAAGAGTGTGTGTGCAGCCAGAGTGAAAATATATGTACAACCCCAACAAAGTGAAAATGAGAGAGGGGTTTAATTGAGTAGAAGGAGTGGCAGTGAAAAACATGACAGAGGCAGAGAGAGACAGGACACTAACCTCACGTCTTTCAAATTTAATTAGCAAACGCAGCAGCGCTTCTCACTAATTCCTCTTCTAACGTCGTTTCATGGCTTTGGATATTAGGGTTTTCAGACAGCACTTGTGCCCGTATCATAGCCTGACAGAAGAAGCACTTAAAAAAGATCCCATTCAGAGGGATAAATTATACCATGAGCTAATTGAAGCCAAATTTACCTATTTGTTCATTATAATCCCAAAGCTAATGAGGAAATTTCAGACTAATTACAAAAAAAGAAAGTAATATTCATTCCCTTTGCTCGGCAACATGCGGTAAAAAAAATAAATCACGAACTTAATGAGCTAATTACACATGAGCGTCTGGGTCGTAATTGATTGTGAGCAGAGGAGTTTGAGGATGTGCGTCTGTCTGTGCTCTCTTGTTATTCCCCTGGTACATTTGACTGGATCCCAAAAGATCAACAGCATGAAAGACACAGAAGGGGGCAGAAACAAAGAGAACACTTAGAGGTTTCAGTTTGAGCTGCAATACATCCAGTTTGAAGGGACAATAAAAACTTGAAGCCTATTGGCAAAGTCTTTTTAGGATGATGGTATTCTGACAGGGAATTATTGGCACATAAAATCACTCATGTAGAAACATTTCAATTAAAATCATGCAGGACTTGTGCAAAGTCAGCACTGTCATCTCACAGCGACGGGGTTGTGGGTCTAAATACATTGGCTGGGGCCTTTCTTGTTGTCATTATCAACTGTGCTGCTGACCATGTGGAGTCTTACAGGATGCAGAAATGTGGAGGCAAACCGAGCAATCTTAAATGAACTGTTTATTGGCTGGTTGCAATAATCCAAAAAGGGGAACATCAAAAAAATAAACTGCAGAAACAAAAGGTTGAACCAACACTGGGGCAAGGAGAACAGACACTGATCAAAGACAAGGAGAGAGAGCGTCTATATACACACAGAAGAGCAATCGGGGAAGTGGAAACAGCTGGGGACACAGCTGTACTAAATCGCAGTAGACGAGACGATGGAAACAAACTAAGCAAAGGACAGCTCTAAAAATAAAACAGGAAGTGGGACAACTAAAAAGAAGGACTAACATACATTTTGGACTTTTAAATATATTTTCATGAATTTACAACTTGTCGAGCAGATAAAGACCTCATCCTTCACCATTCATACTAATATGTAATAGACAAACAATTAATGTCTCTTTTTAATTTAAATGCCTGGAGTTTTTTTAATGTGTTAACAGAAAAATAAATAATAAAAACGATTCACTTTATAATTACAGGGCAATTTAGGCAATAAGTTACCAGAATTTTTCTGTAATTTTACATATTTACTTCTTAGAGTTTAAGCCCAAAGAGTCATGCTGGCACATTTCCTGCATTTAATACAACAGTTTTCTTTATCATGAAGAAAAACAGAGATACTGTTGAAATAACACTTTTTTATATTGAGACATCTCAGGGATTAAATGTGTAGTTAAACATCTTTACACTGATACAAATTGTTGTTTTTTTTTACCTGTCTGACCCACTTAAAATCAAAATGGGTTGTATGTGGTCCACAATGTAAAACAAGCTTGTATGACTCCTAAACACAAGTATGAAATGAAATGAAATGAAAGAAAGCAACACTGCCGTTAAAAAAATAAAAATAAACACAACTTAACAATTTAAGAGGACACCACAAGCAGAGTTAGCTGATTGAAATTTTTAATACTTTGAAAAACATAACAGCAGCTTAGTTAGCTGAAGCACATGCCACATGCCATGATTTGCTGTCTCTGAACTTCATGTGCACGGGATGTATCACCCTCTCCCCTCGCTCTAACCCGAGAGTAAACACCAAGAGAGGAGCTGGGAGCTTCATTTCTCTTCCTTCTTTAATCTCAAAGAACACTTGCTTCACTGATGGCTGAACTAAAGCTGTTTTCCCGGGAAAACGCCTGAAAGACGGCGAGACCTCCGCAGTTCACACTGGCCACTCTGTAATTAAGCTTTAACCTTCTCAGAAAGGATTTGTCAGAGTGGAAATTTGGGGTCCGCTGACTGAAACCCCTCCACATGTGTCACTCCACGACCGGGTGCAACATAAAATACACTGTGAGGAGAGCAATTTTGCAAGTTGAGTGTGACTGCTGTGTGGGTCTAAACGACATCAACCTTTATCTAAATGAAATGCACCCCCTGGAAAAATACTACCTTGCAGCTCTCTTATAGTTCATATCTTTGGCGAGTTAATCTGGTGAACTAATGAGAGTCATTCATCTTCTGTATAAATTACCAGCTCCAATACATCCCCTCTCATAGAAAGTCTTTGTCGGAGCCCGTAAGACTTCTTTTGTTATACCTGTGGAGTAGTAAAGTGAGGGGGAGGGCGGTGATAGCAAAAGGAAGCCCTCATGCTATGGCTCAACTCACCTAACGATTAATCACATACCTTTAGGCGGTGAATTAAAGACCTGTGATAACTGGAGTGGCCTAATCATCTGCATAGCCAAGGGCAGGATTTATCCCTGTGAGAGTAAAGCTAAACCAACTGTTAAAGCTTCTCTGTCTTCTATCCTCCTGTCTCACTTTCACACTACTTTTTGCGTATGATTAGCTATTCTTGTGATAGTGAGTCCATAAGATACCACATAATCTCTACTAGTCTGCAGAATGATGACTTCCAGAAATGGCTCTCTTTATTTTTTGCACCACCTTTAAGTTGGTGAACCTTTACCCCCTGCTCATCACAACGCTCTTTGAAAATTCACCAAGCCGCTATGACAGCCAAGACATTTTTAAGACAAATATAGGCCAATCAGTATCACTATGGTAACGTCAGGCATCAGGTGGAAGTGTAAGCAGCTTCGTGATGAGCGAGGAGAACATCACATACGTAATTTGATCAAGTCGGCAGAGGGAAAAGCATGAGGAACAAATATGGTTTTCTCTTCCAGTGGAAGTGTGATGGTATGACTAATCTATTAATTACCCGAATCCATTAATTAAGGCAAATTTAAATGGAATTTTAATGAAGTCTCCGGGATCTTTGTTGGATCAGTTCATTGAGTTTTTAGTGCATGAGTGTTGATATAGCAAAAATGATCTTTTTCCACTTTAGGTTAAAAGATTAGTTAGACATCCGGCCTTCTTGCTGAAAGCTATGTGAGGAAATAAATGCCAATCTTTGGCTCTTAGAGTAAATATAGAAGTAGGACAAAGCAACAACCTCGGGGATGAAAAATGAGCCCATTGCTGAAGTGTCAAAAATTACAGCCCTGTGAATGGCCACTTGAAACTGCAAAAAGAGGTCAGTCTCCCTGGACTCCTGTGTTCAAAATGGTCAGCTTTAGACAGCTAAGGCTTTTTTTTTTACGTCCACTTATTTATTTATTTTAGAAACCACCTGGTTTAACTGTGTTTGTAAATGTATTAAAATTAAGACACTGGCTGCTTTGGCACTGTCTCCTAGGCTTCACATCCCTGAATCGATACATATCTGGACTTTTTTTACTGTCTGAAGAGGAGGGATAGTGGATATATTGAGCAAAGGATGCTGAGAATGGAGCTGGCAGAGAAGAGGAAAAGAGGAACCTCAGAGAAAGTTCATGGATATAGTAAAGGAGGACATGCAGAGGGTTGGTGTGGCAGAAAAGGATAAAAAGGATAGATGATCTGTGGTGATCCATAAAAGGAGAAGCCAAAAAAGAAGATAAGCTACTAGATCTACTCATCTACATATTTATAATGCAAATGTGGGATATGTGTTCATTTTCTCAATTTACTCATCTGACCAAAAAAATGTTGAACTACCCCCTCAAAGCTTCGTGGGAATGCCTCTCCAAAATGTTCAATCACAATGAAATAACAAAGGGACTGCAGCTCTGGTCAACTGCAGGCTTGATAAATAAAGTATGTGGTTATACCTTGAATCTTATAAAAAATTCACAGCATTTAAATATTGGGCTGTGTGTGTGTAATTTTCTGCTGGCACAGTCCTGAGATGTGCTTATTTAATATTACGTCACGGTTTATTCCCTTCTGAGTGCTCTTCAAATGAATTTTCAGCTCCACGTCACCGCAGTTCAAGAACTCCACAGCTGTCGTAATCAAATAGGGAACCTTGAGAGGAGCGTCACTGATTGGAGTAACACTTAATTGTGTTGCACTGTGCCATATTTGCCTTGTCTCCCCATTCCTGACATACCATTTAAGCATTAATGAGCGAAACTGATGAGCCTAACGTAGTATAATGCAATAATTACAGGCCCCTCAGCATGCAGTAGCATCAAATGTGTTTGTTTACTATAAGGCAAAGACATATTGTCCACTGAGTGGACAAATGAAGAGCATGCTTGAATGAAAAACTCTTATCCTAAACAATCTAAATTGGCCCATATTGAGATAGCGAGATTACTAAAATGTAAATTAATGACTCTAGCTTGCAGGGGAAAAAGACATACAGTGTATTAAATGCTGTAATATGAAATAGATAATTAGAGTGAGAGTAAATCCTTGCTAGTAGCTATATGAAACTGACAGAATAACAAGGAGCAAAAAAATCATGCAAGAATGAAGGACCGTGTGTGGTCTGAGCTGGAACAAGCAGTCCCATGACCAGCTCTTGGAAAATGTCAGCGCATGCACACAGGATGTAGTAAAGTCACTCACAGTGGAAAAACATGGAGATCGGGGAGTTTTAAAACAAACACCAGCACCAGCTTTTGTGTAAATGGATAACACAATGCTGGCACTAGCAGGGAAACACAACCAGACTTTCTTACCTTTGCCAAGTGGGAGTTGATCCATTTTGTGAATGTCCTTTTCTGCACTGCTTCCTGCTCATCTGTAAATCAGAGCCCAGAGCATCACTATTAGTCACGCGCAATAATAAACAAAGAAAGGATTAAAAACACAATCTTCTCATTGTTTATTGTGAGAGTCGCTTGGGTTTCTGATGCTGGATGGCTGCCTCTTGTTATCTCTGATAATCTTCCTGTCTCTCTAATGTGTCAGTCACACCAAATCATACCTTACACTAATGTACAAAGAGAAGGCATTTGACATTTACAGATGGCATTTTCATTATCTGAACTCCTCTTGCTGAGGACAGAAAATTGTGCTCTCGAAAATGCCCTTTAAATGATAGGAGGCCGGTGGTTCTCCCTCTTATCTGCCATGTTCTAGTCATTTCTGAGTACAGTTTAAACATGAAATCTGGTGCTCTGTTCAGGGCTGTGATCAAAATACACAAACGCGACATTACCCCAAATGCATTGGTCTTGTTTATGGCAGCTAACGTAATGAAGGCCCTTTTGGAAAGACCCAATCAATAGTATACATGTCTGCTGACAATGTCCCCTAAAAAGGCACTTAACCTGAATGAGAAAACCTAATAAATCAAGCACATATACAATTTTCTGTGCATTTATAGTATGAAAGTGTGTGTGTTCTGCTGGATTTTTACCAACTAATGTATAGTTTATTCTTCGTGATATCTTGTGTCAGCAAAATTCAATGTTATGTGCAACCCATGTATTAAAAAAATTGAACATGAATGAGGTTATCTCAGAGAAATTAATGTGCAGCTGCTACACTTATACCATTAGAGTGTACAAAACCACACAATCTACCTGGGATTCAAAGCATCCCATCACGCGCATGCAACTGATGTTTTTGTGTGTCCCGTCTTTGCTGCAGAGCAATATCCTTGAGATAAGCACGTTATCAGCGAGAAAGGACGTCTGACACAGTGCCTTCCTCTACCTTAATGAAACATGCTGACGCCTTGATTGCACTCAAGTTGGTTAGTGTGTCACTGGGTGCTGTGGACAGACGCTAAAGGGAAGAGGTGTGTCTGTGTCTGAGGGAAGGTACCTTTCATACATAATGCATATACACTCACACATAGTCATACGTGCCACTGAGCAGCTTCCTGCTCTACAAATTAATCTTTTGATTGGGTCCAAGAGTAATCAAATATTGATGGGCGGTAATATTGGATGAGAATGGGGAAAGATGTTCCCTCCCTCCACATTCTTGAGCAGGAACATGCGTGACGGAGAACAGGCCTGCATGTGCGTGGTGCCAGCCTCTCAGTCTCAGGGACGAGGTGACTTTGAACCTGCCGCACAAACGCAGTCACTCTTAAGCACACACGCTCATCTTCTTTCAATATAACAATGGGAAACAGCCATCCTTTGCAGCAGCATTTTAACACACTTGATTACCTTCTGTATCACTTGTCTCATACACAGTCCCTGATTTCTCACAGCGAAGATCACCTTAACAAATTATCATTGATATAGTCAAGGAAAAGAATGCAAACTTGGTGCAAACAAAGAGACCAGTTGTCAGACATCTCAGAGTATTTCCTTTCTTCTCAACAGTATAGACTGATAATGTGATTTATCCAGAGACAAGCTGGCAGACAGAATGCTGAATATGTGATATCCAAATGAGCAGAGAGGCAGATAGCCACAGGGTCAGACAGAGAGATAAGGAATCAAGCATTTTGACAGTCAGCCCTCTGTGCTGTGACACCTGCAGTGAGTTGTTACTTGTCTGCTGGGTATGCTTGTTTCACCAGCTGTAGACCTCCACACACACACAAACACATGCACACACACACACACACACACACACACACACACACACACACACACACACACACAGGCTCACTCGCTGACTCCGCCAGTGTGGAAACGCCCCCTTCAGACGTCTGCCCATTTCACTTTATTCACACACTCACAGCTTTGACAAAAAAACAAAAGCATCCTTCAGGGAACTCTTTGGAAGAAAACTGCACTGCAAAATGCACACAATCATTCATAGTTATGCACACACACATACACATATGTCCAGCAGGCACGTACGGTCCATGCTGCAGTGCCGTTCTAAATCACACACCCTACACACATGCAAAAATACACATTTTGTGCACTTGCTTTCTTTTTGGAGTCTCTATCTGTCTCAGCAGGACACACACATGCACACAGCCGCGCACACAAACTGCCCCACTTACCCCGGAGGTATTGGTAGAAGCCCGCCACCAGGTTGAGGGATGTGTTCTTTTTCGGGGAGGCTTCGCCCCCTACTTGCCGTGCCATCTTGTAACCCGGATTATGCCTCAATTTGTGCTTGTTTCATGGGGGCACTGAGAGGACATCAACGACCACCTCTGGGAGAGGTAACACTTGCCCTTGCTCCTGCCCTTGTTGCCCACCCCCCTTTTTTTCGGGGGGAGGTGTCTTTAAAGAGCTCCCTGAAGCACCGGACCTCCTGGGATGACAGCAGTGGAACTGTTGCGCTGAGGTAAAACAGGGAGGAAAGAACCACCCTCTTGTTTCGCCTGTCGCCCTTTACGTTTTGCCGTCCTCTGTCCTGTCCTGCAGTAGCGGGCTGCAGACTCAGTCAGACTCAGTGGTTTTCCTGCCTGTTAAGCAGCTTGGGAGTGTGATGCGAGAGTACGCGTGATGCAATGACTGTTTGTGTGTGTATGTGTGTGAGAGAGTGCTGCGCAGTGCCGGCTTGCCTCAGCATCAATCTTTTTTTGCTTAGTCTCCCTCTCTCTCTTCCCCTCTCATATCCTCTCTACCTGTGTCCTTCCCTCCCACGTTTTCTCTCTCTCTCTCTCAATTTTTCGCTATAGGCTGCAGGAAAAAAAATTACTTCCCTCCAATGGCTAGCCAATCAGAGTGCGTGGGAATGAGTGATGTCACAGTAGCCCCATCCGCATGTGGAAAGGGAGGACTTAGCGGTGGTGGGTGGGTTAAAGGAGACCATTTAGCAGGTTAGCAGGGGAAAAGCGGGAGCTCTTCTGTGACAGCACCACACACACAAACACACAAACACTAAAGCAACGCGGGGACAGACGTGCAGGAATTCCCTATGTGCTGCTGGCACTCTTAATTCCCCTCCTCGCTCTCCCCTCTGTCATCCATACAGATACCATGCGGTGCTCTGAGGCACGCTGCTTCTTTACTCCATAGAGCCTTCAGGGGAGCAGACTATCACTGACAGTCATCCTGTCTGATCTCCTACTGTACTCCCTTCAAAAAAAGAAAAAAGAAAAGAGCCACTTTCATCTCAACCACAGTCACAAACAGTCTGTTTGTTTTCTCTCTGGGTAAGCGACTACCGAACAGGAGTGGAAAACAATACAGGAGGATGTAATATCTGGGACGAGGTTTGGATTGTCATACAACATGAAATGTACACAGTCCACAAAGCGTCTCGGACAAGAACAATATAGCGAAGTCCAGAACAAAGAAGACCACCACTTTCATTCTGATTCAGTCATGCTGTGGAAACTGCACTGCTGCTGCTGCTGGTAAAACTTTTACTGCTAAACAAGGCAACAAGAAAACATTAGACAATGGGTGCACTGTTTGTCCAACTACTGAGAGTTCATTTTACAAAGGCATGTTCCCTGAGTGCGAGAAATCCCAAGATGATACTGGGAATTAAACAAAAAGCTAACTTGTGCCATTCCCTATGGTTTAACATCTTCTCATGATGTTGCATAAAGCTGGGTGTGCATGTCCCCAGTGTATGTTGACCCCTTCTTCTTTCACACTCTGATTCCTATCTCAGTTTCTGCCTGACCTCTGCTCTCCTGCATTCAGCCTTTTCTGTTTGTTCCCCATCTCCTCCAACAACCACAGGCATACACGCGCACACACAGACACAAAAACATACAGCCAGTGTGAGCTCTGGCAAAATTAAAATTGCAGAGCTCCTTTTGAAACCATATTCAGAGAGTTTCCTGGAAAGCAATATTCATGCTGAAGAGCCCGGTGCATCTTATATCAGCCTTAAAGATGAAAGGACCATTCATCATTTGTATGATTTTCCCTTTTTGTTCTTTGGGTTCCCCCCATAAGGGATTTTAATTAAAAAAGTCATCAATAACCGATGGCAGCTGTCATCCGCTATCTGTCTGCTGATAATCACACCGCTGACACTCCTCCCTCTAACAGCCCTGGAACTGGCCGTCATAACGTGAGCCTATCCCTCTGGATGACTCTTTGAAACGAGTGTCTGTCAAGCCGCGCTTTACATTTCTGAACATACAGTTGGAGAGCTGTGTATGTGTGACGGACTGTGCAGGCATTTTAGCTCAAACGACAGTTCAAAGAAATATTCATGCAGTCCTGTTTTTTTTTTTTTTTCATATTTACATTTGCATTGCCTTTACCAGCTTTCTCTAAACTATGAAAAGATGATTTATGCCAGTGGAAAGCAAAATCCATTGGGGGTTTCACTCTGCACAAACTCGCAATCCCAATTCAATAACATTACTGCAAGAAAATCCTTTGGCCCATGCTGCGCTGCAACCAGGCAAAGATCTATTGTTCTAGAGAGCCCACGCATTATTAATGATGTAAATAATAAAACAGAATATATTGACCGATGCACAGTGTGTTTCCATTTACTCCAGCCTCTATGCCAAGTTCAAGGTGCTGCTAAACAGCTACACCCGAACTCAGAAGTGTGAGGGAACTATCCGAGGTGCTGAACCCGCCAAAAAGAATCAATCAACGAGAATTAATGCAATTTTTAATCCACTTTAAAGCAGTAAATTTACAAAGAGCCAGCACTAAATAATGACCAGCTATAGCCACGCTGAAAGTCCAAGTCTTTTGAGCTCAGTATTTCTAGTTTTTTTTGTTTTGTTTTGTTTTTTTTAGATAATTCTTCCTTTTTAACAGTGAAAAATGTGGAAGCAGAACTTCTCTGGTGAACTAAACTGTTAAGAAAAACAACCCCAGGGCAAAAACCAAAACAACATGGTGAGGATTCATGGGACTTATTAGACTTCACCACGGGAGCTGAGAGAACCAC